CGAACAGGGTTTTTTGAACATCGCTCATTCTTGCGCTGCCACACCGTAAGGTTATGGAGCAATTGATAAACCATTCGAAAGAGCTCTTCACGCTCTTTCAAACAGTATATTGAACATACAGAATTTCTCTCTATTTCTGGATAAAAAAGCGAAATACCTGAAAAATTGCGATTTTTTGGCGCAACAAAAACAAATCAAGTTTCAATCTGTATTTTCCGAAGGTAGATAAAATGTGAGGGGATAGAGCGTAAAAAGCTCTTTCAGATGGTACCTATAAAACATGCGTTCACCTGCAAAAAATTGAATAGCACTATCTTTGTTCTCAAAGCTGCTAATGGCCATATCTTCTAAATTTGAAAGTTGAGGCCAGCAGCCCCTCGTGTATCTGATGACTGCACCTTCACGCATTGCAGCAGTAGTACTTTGGATGGTTTCGCATGTTTCACTGCGCAGATATTGCCCGAAGTTTATAATTTGTCAAAGTGGCTAATTTTGCATTTCAGCCACTATAAAAATTATTAGGTACGTAAATGACCTTATTTAGGTATTTTCTGAAAGAGAATAATTTATTCTAACGCCTGTCAAAATTTGAAGTTTAATCGCTTTTCTTTTTTGAGAAATCTACATTTATTCTCTATGTGCCCCATTTTTTACCGACCACCCTAATATCTTCTGAAAGCCCTTGAAGAGGAGAATCCAAGCTATGAAGTCGCAACATGATTCATGCAATTCTGAAGAAGTTATGAGTTGTTGAAGTTCAAAAAGCGGTTTTTTACCTGTTTTTTAAGAGCCTGAATCTCGGCGGTATCTTGATGGATCCGTACTGCTAAGACGTCGTCCGATAGAGCAATTCTTACTCTACAAAACCTACGAAGTCCATTCCAGATTTATAGAACTCTGAACGTCAGCTATCACTAAGTAACCTAAATTCGCTTAATTTTTCAAAATTCTCGTTCTCGACGGCCACTGCTCAGATCGACCTAATTCTTTCACTGTCTGATAGGACAACATCTGCCCTTCAAAACCTATAAAGTCGCAGTTGCTGACATCTTCAACCACCAGATTTATAACATTGGAAATTTCGCATGATTTTTTGCTATTTCATTATTCGAAATTCTGCTTCTCGGTGGTTACTGCCTGGATCGACCTACTTTATTCGTAGTACGTTATAACAAAATTTACTTAATAAAGTACGTAAAGTTTAGCTGAGTTTTACTTACAAATACACCATTTGATTAACACGTTTATTTCAAGTATTTAAGCCGCTGTACTTATCGTATTTGTGGCACTAAAAAGGGACGTTGGGTCACAGTTGTTGGCCCTAACGAGGGCCGTTGGGTTAGAGCTCCTCAATTTTCCGAAGTCATCATGAAGCTTTGCTCTCCAAAACCGTAGGGAGTGCTGGGTATTGACTGCGTCCCGGCGTATGAAGATCTTCGCGTGCTCCCGATAGTTGACTGCCAGCCAACAACTCAGCGTGCATGTTGCAATGGCAGTGAACGCGCGAAGGCGTGGTATTACAGCGTGACGCTTCGATTGGCATTTAACGTCACTGCCAACTCAAAGCTTTCCTTTCTTTAACCCGAGCCGATGTCAGAGTTCGCGCGCATTCTGAGCGTGCCACTTTTGCAATTTGTCGTCTTGTCATTTTTGCTTATTTGGCTACAAGGTCCGTCAGGAGTCATGGTGATGGGGAGTCTACAGCCGCAATCACCAAATTCTCCGTCGGGCTGAAGCTCTGTAAGCCGAGATTTTTCGAGATATCGACATTACATCTTGGACTCGATGCCCAAGACAACAGAAATCAGTACGACGAATTTTTAGAAATTGTTTTTCCGGTTAAGGAATGTGAACGTTCCTAAATTGAGTATATATCCATAAACTATTAGAATAATAGATTTAATACCTTTGTACGATATAACGGCTGCCCTCTTTTTTACTGAAACATTAATTTACACCAATTTACATTTACATTTACTTTTTTATTGTAGTTTACATCATAATTCAATGAGACTTGATTCTCGCTACTTTCTTATCGGAAATCAAAGCGAAGCTAGTAGGGCATCAAGAACGTTCGACGTATTCTTCAGTTATCAAGATGGCACTGCCTCGATATTATCGAGATGGCACTGTCTCGATAAATAGCGTCAGCAAACGAGCCTTTGAAAAAAATTTGATGTTTACTGAGCGTGAAGAAGTGCAGAACAGGAAAGACTGGTGCGGCGAGTTGCTCGTGTTGCTGAGTATCCAGTTGTTTTCTTGCTAATGGAGAAGCCATCAAACGTGAATCAAATGAAACTTCTCATAGAAGAAGTTTCTTATGCACGCACAAACTGGTTCTGTGAGGAAAGTAAACATTTGGAAAATCCGAGATGCCTTCTTCATCCCGATCGCTGGAATGTACTCTTTGAAAATGGTGTTGATGCTCACAACCACAACGTACCTGGAGGCCCGAGCCTTTAGTGACGGCAACGAAATAATTTTTACGATAGTTCGGATTAAAAACATCATATTAGACTTTTTATGATTTTGATTCCGAATTTAATTACTTCTGACTTTTTCTTCTGGTCTATGCTGTGTTTTTTCGCATAAAGAATGTTGATACCATAGTGCCGAGATATTGAAACATCATTAGTTCTCGAATGTGCTTATCAAAATGGATTTTGAATCACATTTACATTACATTTACACTTAAACAAGCATACATTATATGTGTTATTTGCACTGTGCTGGAATGTGGAAGTTGTTCTTTATCCCTTTGGCTGTCGCCGCTCTATCTGGAAATCCATGTCATCCACATTTCAACGAAATGTCGGTTTTACATTTTACTACAACCAATGAGGAGCAGTTTACTGAATGAGTGTTAGAGAAGAATGCTATATCGCTGAGAAGATGAAGAGTTTGAAAAATCTTAGTGCTTAACAATCATCCTTGGTGAGTTTACCGAATTTCGTTGCCAGTATCTTTATTATTGAATGCAGATGGGAGACGAGCGTAACTTTCAATCCACAACATTCGTGGACCTCAACAACAAAAAGTGACCCAAATCAAGCAGGGTATATCAAGCATTTTTTACGGTTGGGAGTGCAGAAGGAGATAACGACGTCCCTCCTAGCCAATTCCCTCGAGGAGTAAAAAAAATTAACTTCAATCTCTTCACTGGTAGGAGAAAAATGGCAACGTGCACTAGATTCGTCAATTGGCCGTATTGCAATCAAGTAGCCGATGCTAGCCAGAATCAAGATCTTTTGAAATTCTACGGTCGCAGTAGGTCGACGCCAGCTGCACGTATACACAGCGAGCATCACTATCTCGAAGGTCAAACAGTTTTTGTGCTTTTAAATTTCAAAAGAAAGTATCCAGCCGAATTTGCTTCCATGTTCAGTTACGTACTAACCACGCAATCAGGCAATTTGTACTACAATGCAGATAACTTAGTCATCACAGGAGACAAACAGAAATGGATATCATCCAGAGCGGTAGATATAGTAGTGCTTAGTCCATCGGATGATGTCAGCAAGGTGACACCGATGAACTAACTTGACAACATGTGGCCACAACATTCTAAGGACATGGTCCTTCAAATTCTCACTACCGAACAGTTTACTGCAGAAAAGTCCCTTTCGATGTGTGACAATCGTTGGGCCCTCACGAGTAAAACTCCAGGTTATAACAATTGCGATGACGAGGATACTATTTTATATCAATGGGTTCGCCGTGAAGATGATCCGATCAGACCAGATTCTCAAGGACGTTTGCAAGAAAGGCAGCGCGAAGATGCCGCGGGAGTATCATCCACCACAATTTCGTCGCAACTCAGCCCATCTCACCTTTCCCCGCGAGCCCAATAACCAGTAAACGACGATTTGGAGATTTTTTTGACATGCCTGGAACCAGTGACATAGGAGTGGTCCCTAACCCGTCTGCTGATGCAAGCGACGTACGCTCCGAGAAGCTTGAGAGCAAAGTTGCTAAGCTTTTGGAAATAGAGCAAAGTATTGCACTTCGTCAAAAGGCATTCGGAGAGCAGCAAAAAATTCTGGCGATAGAACCTTAACAAGCCAAGCATGCTCTCTACTATAAGGGAGGAAAGGAAGGAGAAAAGTAAGTTATAGACTCTTGAACAGCAGCTACAAGACGAAAACTTGCGGCGCAAATTCGGGCTGTACAGAGATCTGATGGAAAAGGAAAAGTTCGAGGAAGACTTGAAGAAGCTACAATGAAGAGAAACTGAACCCGGACCAAATCAAATGGTTGAGAGGGAAAGATTATTTGCGATATTACCGAGATGAAGAATACCCCGGCGCTGACTTTTCAGATGTGCTCTTTGTAATAGAAAAGCAACGGCGCCTTTTGACCCGAAAGAGGGCTTCCGCAAGTGCCAAACCGAGAGCGATTTTTTAATTGGTTCAAATCTGCTTGGGGAAAACAGCGTGCTTTGTGTGAAAAGAATAGCCCAACAAACCCAAGGCGAAGAAAGACCTCGCAAGCTGATCAGTCGTCTCATACAGAGAAAATCTAATCACGAGAAGTCGACGCAACATAACCAATGCTTGAAAAAGTTCAAAAAAGAAGCCGATGATATTTCTGGAAGAATAACTCCAGATGGCATCTCAGCTACAGTAACTTTCACATTCGCTGCAAATTGATAGCAAAAGAGATCCTTCCCTTTTCAAAACACTTCCCACTTAATCATGTCGATGAGGTCTGGATCTGTAGGCGTCACTGTTCATCACGATTCTATTAGTGCACGTAGAATGATATCTGCATTTGCAGTACACATGAAGCACGCTCTTATAAGATACGTCGTTAAGAACAACCTACCCTTTTCTTTGCTTCTAGATGGTTCTTCGTCAAGCAGACGAGTAAAGTGGATAGTGTTTCTTCTGAGAACATTTTCAACAGACTACCGTCCAATGACCTTCCATTTATGTCTCACTGAAGTGGAAAGTGAGTCTGCAGCTCACATTGTGGAAGCACTACTACGAGTTTTTGCGAGCATGGGAGGCTGGGTCAATGAGCCAGGTCTTAGCAAGTCCTTAAAACAGCATGCTATGCAAAAAATGTTAGCACTATCCTCCGACGGTGCAGCTGTCATGAGCGGTCATGTTCACGGAGTGTTTGCCAAACTAAAAGACATGATTGCTGAGGAGACCGAAGCTGATCTTTATCCTAGAAACAATCTGCTAATCTCAGTTTGTATGACCTATCGCGACTTCACAGCGCGAGTTCCCATGGTAGTTTTATCTTATCAAATGATCTTTTGCAGAATGCGCCAGCCGGTAAAGATGTGACAACAACGATCAACTTCAGATAGAAGCTCTCGCATGGTGAGAGCAGCCATCGTTTGCCTTCGCTTATCTCTCTCTTTCTTAAGAAGAAGACAGTCAGTCGGACATAGTGCTTTTGTCATCTTTCTTGTCTCAATCCACGCGCGTTCGGAAAAGGAAGATTAACTCACTTTAAAAACTCATCATTCCAAGGCTTTCGACTTCGCCGCTTCAACTCGCCTTTCGAGCGATAATAAGATCAACCTGCGCCTTTTACTTCCTCGCAACGCTCGAGGTCCAAGATTTGTGCAAATCAAAGACAATTCATCCAAAAACACCACACAAACAAAAGCGCTATTTCGTTCACTCACTGAGGACAATTTTGAGGTTCTCAACTATAGTAAATCATTAGAAATTTATTTGATGTTTGTTCCTTTCCTTGTATTTTATGCGTTTTTACAATGTTCTGATGGGTTTAATTACCCAAGTTTGAGGTAATCGCCGTAACGAATAAACCGTGCAACAAGTCGGTGTGGTTGGTGTAAACTGGTGTGGTTGGGTGCCACTGAGTTATCCAAATGGCCCATAAATTGAATCTGGCTGTGAAGGCACAGAAAAATCCACTATTCAAACTTGCACAAGCCATTGTAATGTACCATCCATTCGGATCTACCGTGCGAACAACAGGCAGGAGCGAGTACAAGAAAGTTGCACAAAAACTGTGCTTCCCAGACTTGCAGATGAGCGCTCTTTTCACAGTGAGATGGTCGGCTAGTTTTGCCAATTCACTCTCTAATATACTTCGCGTTTACCCTGTGATTCTACAGGCACTGACGGACATACGAGATAACAGACGTTTTAGCAGCAGCTTCATAAAAAGAGCTACTTCGGCATTTCATGTGCTTTCGGATGCGAGGAAATACATAGCTCTACATCACACCAACACTACTATGCATGAGGTTTCTGTATTGTCGCAATATATGCAGCGCGAGGAAGGGCTACTTGTTGACAACCTACAAAGGTGGAGAGCTCTTGTCTACAGCATAGCACAACGAAGTTTACTAGGAAAAAAGACAAAAAACCTACTTGAGTGAGAAACCATCAAGGGCTATGTTAATGACGAAATAGAACGCATCGATACGGACTTTCTCGACAATTACCCTAACCAAGATGACAGACGCCTTTTAGCATACAAGCCTCGAGCGTTCGCAGAATTTACACTCGACCGCTACTCACAATCAGAAGGCGATCATGAAGAGAGGGAACGACTTCTGGACTGGCATTTATTTAGAAACTTGGCTCGCACCACATCCTACGAAGAAAGCCCACCAGACCTAGACAATCCCGAAGTCACCTTTAGCCTTGAAGATGCTCCAGAAAGTAGTGAAGTTGACTTAAGGCACCATAGTTTAGCAAAACGATATGAAGATTTCGACTGGAACAATGCTGTATATCCTTGCATTATATGTTTCTACAACGAAATGAAGCAGGCATTAGATGCCCAGTTCGTAAATAAGCCTCATGAATTCAATAATATTGATCTACTAGCACTGGATAACATTATACACGACATAATTGAATTTAACGGAGATTTTGAAAACGGCTTTGTTGACTATGTACAAACGCAAACTTCTTCAACAGAGGATGCCCGAGCTATTCTATTATGGGAGCTGACACACTTGATCCAAATCTTCGTCAACAGCAAATTTTGGATTCCACTGAAGTACTTAGTCAGTTCTGTAACATCCCAGACCTCAAGGAAAGCATGATTCGCTTTTATAATACTATATTCGCTCCAGTGCAAAGGTTCGCAAAGTGCGAATTAAACTTTAGAGAACATTCATATAGTTTGTCGTTTATCGAACGCTGCTACAGTACAATAAGGAGCTGCATGTCCCGGATGAAGTCCAGCAGGTACTACATTTGCCGTCCTCTTTCACTGCTGCTAAAGCTTCTCTTTAGGCCATAAAATGTGTTCTGATCCTCCCAGCAAGCAACGCCGATCCCCAGCGCAGTTTCTCTGCTGCTAACAGGCTCACTAGAGAGGAAAGGAGTACCATAAAGAGGGAGTCTCTAGACAACATCATGACGTAAGCCCTGTTGCTGTAAGTATGCTCCAACATCATTGCATGTTTTAGAGTGCAGCGTAATGGGCCTAGCATCCTAACAGTCGAACTTCAGCAGTTAGCACTCCAATGGATGCATCCTGCACCGGGACTTGGGTTGGATCCGGGTATGCCATCGAATCTAGCTAGAGAAGGCAGCCTCATGAAAGCAGTAAAAGAAAACCTTGCAAAAGGTTGGATTCACCTTTACATTTTGAAGTTCTCTAAGCATCTAGGAGTTGCATATGAGTTGGCCAAACTCCATGTAAGGCGGCACATGATGGTTCACCGCCCAAATGCCCGAAAGGACACAGAGGAAATCAAGAAGCGGCTGTTGTAAGAAGAAAACATGCTAAGATGAACATTTTCTCAATCGGATTTTCTAAGAAAACAGACCAGGATATCTTCACATCTGTACGACATTTCGCTTCATAAATCACTGTTGATTTTCTCATATTAGCGTATGCAACCGATAAATGTGTTTTTAAAAGTACATTCTCCACAGAAACCACAAGAACAATGTGCGTATGTTCCTCTTTTTCTACAAAGTCATTCAAATGTATCGTGCATTTGTATTGACGAAATCTTCACTTTCCCACGCATCACTCGTCGGTCGTCACACCATCATCCATTCACTGCAAAACCTGCTTTTCAAGAATTTCATTGAAAATACAACTCGTACCTAAACCAAGAATCCATTTAGTATTTCTCTCAATTACGTTGGCTGAGTTGTCAGAGGTAGTTGGGAAGTGTGGCACATCTAAAAATTTAGTTACAGTGGTTTTCTGCTTAAAAACCGCTTTTGACCTTGGGTCACGACAACCCCCCCCCTTAACTCCCGCCCTTACGACCCCCGGTGTGGCGTGCCATACCCCCCGCTTTACCCTGGTTATGACGAGAGGGGATAAAGGACTGCGCGGAATACTGAACAGAAACGTGTCGCAATCAAGTAAAGACATGCTGCGAAGTAGAGGGGATGGAGATGATGCCATAAACGCTGTTTCAAGTAACTCTATCATTTGGATCCATTGTATGGCCACAAGATAGAACTTGCTCTAACAGATGCTTTCAAAGATGCAAGTGAAGAATTCACTGGATGGAGAAAATTCGCAACATCATTTTTGAATAAGCTGCGGATATTCTTTACGGCTACTATACGAAAACGCGTTCTGGTCTCGGTGGGCAAGATGATATTAGATGAACATTTTATAAATCTCGAAGGAATTATCACTGTGCGGTGGTCCACAGCTGAAGGAAGCGAGTTTCTGCTCTCACTTTACGGCATCAGATTGACGTTATAGGAGCTACAATACCGCTCATAATTTGTCAAAAAAGTTGCTGGACTGCGGCGCACTCCGCCGGAGTGCGTTGTAGTGCGCTGGAGTGCGACGCAGTCCGCTGGAGTGCGCTGCAATGAGCCGGAGTGCCTAGAGTCTGCCGGAGAGCAGCGGAGTGCGTCGCACATCACTAGATTCCATCGGAATCCGCGTCGCACCGCCATATCTCGCTTCAATGGACGGATTCTGAATCCGAGGATATCGTTCGATTCAGCTCGGCCAAACGCATTATCTGGTATGTAGGAGTGCCACAATCTCGCAGGATATGATAGGTATACGCTAGACAGTAAGTTTCCGCTCAATTTTGCAGATTTTTGTTTGGTTGGATTGTTCAGTGCACTGATAACAGTATTGCCATTGATTTGTCGCTGATGACACATAGAAAGTACTAGTTGGCTTCCCCGGTCCAGCCCGGGGTATTTTTCACAGATGGGGTAGATGGTGCGGTTGCCAGCAAAACTACCGCACTGCAACCCCCCCCCCCCGTTTTTTCATACGAGTGACCTACCTTGCGGCGCCCATTTCGGTTCACTGCATCCTCGTGATTCTGAGGTAGAAATGAACTTCACCGCTCTCCTTTACATGACAATGAGAAAATGCTTGGTCAAACATGATAAGCCTTCCATTCCTTAAAAAACGTAAACAAATCAATAAATCCATAAAGGCACCCAACGAATCGCCGCAAATTAGCCTATCATCTGCGCAGGGGTCGAAAACGTATGTGTGCAAAGTTTCAGCTGAATCGGTTGAGCGGCGCGCGTTTCTATAACGCACATAGCCTCCAAACTCACAATTTTGAGTTATATATATATATATATATATATATATATATATATATATATATATATATATATATATATATTAGGTCGTCCCGAAAGTATTTTCGCTTTTTTCAAACGGTTGCCACAATCGATGGAACAAACCTTTCTAAGAGATCTTGGTAGCGTTCGATGCAAAATTTCATTCTCTTTTTAACGTTTATAAAACTGTTGCAAAACAGTCAATGAGCTTTCAGAAAATAACCAAAGTCTGCGACCCATGCTTTTTGAGATGGTCATGTTCCACGATTTTTTAAAACTTTCATATAAATCCTCAGAAGGAGTTCAAGTAACGGTTCGATAGAGTAAACCTCATAGAATACAGTGCAACTTTTTTCTTTTTCTCGTAGCTCGCCGTAATTTTTTAAAAGATTTTTTAACAAAGCCATCGGATTTTGGCAGTCCCACCTCAGCCACAATCGCATCAAACATCAGTAGTTACTCGGAATTTCAAGCTTTCAAGATGATATATGACTTAGTATTGAATTTATAAAGCAAATGAGAGTTTACGGATTCGAAGTATCAAATTTCGAGTTTTCCGGGTGCAGCCTGGGGCTCCTTAAAAAATGAATTGTGATGATTTTATCCCCGAAAACTAAACGAATCGGAAACAAAAAACACCCATTAGAAAGAGGAAAAAATGCTGCATCAAACAGCACCCGAGCTGCTCTTCCTTTGATGTTCTACAATGATTTAGCTGTCCAAGTATGGAAATCGGTAGCATCAGTTAAAATTCTATTAAAAATGTATGAAAGCTATGGAAAAGAGAAAAAAGTTGCACTGTATTCTATGAGGTTTACTCTATCGAATCGTTGCTTGAACTCCTTCTGAGGATTGATATGAAAGTTCTAAAAAATCGTGGAACATGACCATCTCAAAAAGCATGGGTCGCAGACTTTGGTTATTTTCTGAAAACTCATTGACTGTTTTGCAACAGTTTTATAAAAGTTAGAAAGAGAATGAAATTCTGCATCGAACGCTACCAAGATCTGTTAGAAAGGTTTGTTCCATCGATTGTGGCAACCTTTGAAAAAAGCGAAAATACTTTCGGGACGATGCACTTATTTGCACATTAACAATAGGCTCTCTTTTTTCAAACCGTCTATATATTAGGTTGTCCCGAAAGTTTTGTCGGTTTCTTTCATCGCTCACTAGAACCCACAGAATACCAATCCATGGACGATCTAGGTATCAATTAACTCATATTTTTATCCTCTTTCTTATAGCTATATTTGCTCTTTGACCTACTGTGTCTTTGCGATGTTATCGCCATGGCTTTTTGAGCAGCGCAACAGTGACGCCAAATCTTTCCTGAATTTTAAAAAATTTCCTTTTGCTGCTTTTGAATAGCGCTAAAAACTATTATGTAGAGCAAATCTTTGGCTACATTTTATTCATTTTAAATTACATGGGTCACGTTAATCAAGTCCGTTATAATTATTTATTTAAGAAAAACCGCGGCTTTTTGATTACGTCTACCACGTAAAGTTACCGAAAATTCCAAAAAGCTGAACTTTCAAAGCAAATTAAACTTGGTTATGTTGCATAATTATTGTTTATTAGCAGTCAAGTTTTGATTCGCAGAAATTTCAAAAGCTTTCATGTTTTTGCTGCAGTTGCGTGTTTCATGACTTTGCCAAAAATCGAGACCTCCGAAGAAATAATTTTTTGAAGCGAAAATCAGCAGATTAGTGGAATCCAAGAGTATCATCTTGTAGTCCGAGAATTGCTCTACTTAATGCTTACTTGAACCTTTCCGAAACTCTGAAATGAAATTTTCAAAAAATAGCTGAACTTTGAGCAGACAAAAATGACGGGTGAAGAATTTCAGCAATTATCAAAGAACGCATACAGGATTGTGGTTCGAAAATATAAGCACAAGAAAGAGAAGGAAAAGCTGCATCGAATGCATGTTAAAACTCATTCAGATCTTCATTGTGTGTGGTCTTATAGTGGTCTGAAAAAACCGACAAAACTTTCGGGACGACCTAATAGTTTCCATAGTAAACAATTGAGGATGCTACTATTAGGTTCGCTCGAAAACCCTTGGACATTTTTGAACGAGATCTGCTATTTCTCGAAACTTATTGCATGCACATACGACAGAGGTACCATTCAATAGAGCAAAGCAAGCTCGACAAGATAGTATGCAAAAGTTTGCTCCAGCTGCGGCCCAGCATAAGTTTGCATCCAGAATCTGAGTCGTATGAAGGCAAAAAATTGGGAAAAATTTATATCTTCGTTCAAATAAATCCTACGGATCTCCAACTTGCTCAAGCAAATTACACACCACATTAGACACCCATATGTATCGCTGTATTTTTTCCTCATCTAGAAGGCTGTGAAAACGTAAATTTTCATGTTTATACAAAACAAAGCTACGTTGTTCCCATCAGTTATTGAAAAAGTTTTGCCAACGCTTCCAAACAAGGCTTCAAAAACAACAAAATTCAAGTGCATTCCCTTGGAGTTTCGGCAAGAGTACGAATTTTCATTTCTCCAAAAGTCCATGCATCGAATTCCAAATTCCTTTCGCACCTTAGAGCTCCTGTCAGAGGTGAAGCGTAACCTTGATTACTAAAGTTTTTCCACAAGACAGCCTTTCCTTTACATCCTCAAATTTTTTTTCAGTGCCAAAATTTTCCTTTTTATCTTTAGGCTTTCCCTAAATAACTCGGAGTTCGCAAAACGCCCCCCCCCCACTCCAGTATAGAGCCACCGTCACTTTTTTTCACGTGCCTATAGACCTTTGCAATGGATCCAAAGAGTTTGACGCTTCAAGACTTTTTAAAGATGAAACGAATTCTACTGAATACCCAGCTCTTCCGAAAGTAGCGGAATTTCTCTGTAATTCTAAACTTTTATGCAGGTGATCCAAATAACTATGATACTTTAAGGATACTGCCTTTCCCATAAGGAAGCGAACCCCTCCATACCTCCAGAGCTTCTCTATAGAAAACACAACATTTTCAAAACACTCCCAAAAATCTCCTTCTATTTTGGACTTCGCGGCTTCCTACCAGAAATGATGCGAAACCTTTGACACATCTGAAGCCCTACTAACAGTATCATCGTATTTTTCACATTTCTCCAGTCCCAAGCAATGCCAAAAATTTCTTTTTATCGGGTCCTCTCAAACAGCAACATGCACCCATTTGACAACCCTTTACCTAAACTAACGCCAT